TGAAACCCCTCCCCCGGAGCACATCAAGCCGGATAGGTGAAGCAGGCGAGGGCCATTTGCTGGCCACTTCCGGGCGATGGTCATTTCTTCATTCCTCACAAAGGGTGACGCCTCCCCAACATGCACCCAGAGGGTGGGGCTGACACGGCAGGGGCTGGTTCCTAGCTGTTTCCAGATGGCCTTGTGGAGCTAAGACCGAATGCGTTTCAGCATAGATGGCCACCACAAAATTGTACATTGGCTCCCGGCCGGCCTGGGCCAGGGCCAAGGCAACCGGGGCCGCTCCCTCACTGTTTCCAGGATGGCTTCGTGGGCCACATGAAACCACTTCACAGGCCGCATCCGGCCCCCGGGCCTTGTGTTTGACATGTCTGCAGTACAGTAATCAATAAGATTAGTAGCACTGATGATTTTACTTAGTTGGGTAATGAAACGTCTGCAAAGAAAGCAATCAAGCTCAGAGAGAACCAAGAATCCCACATTGTGTATGTATAAGAACAGAACAAGCTAGATGCTATACGTAGGTGAAAAACGTACGACCGTAATGGAGCCTGGAATTTCTATCTAATGTCACAATGGTCATAAGTCAAAGGCGCCCACTTGACTGACCCAATTTTACAACATTTTTTTGCAGACGTCATTAAGGGAACACAGCGATTCTTAAGGAAATGTGGCAGTCATTAAGCAAACATTGCCGTTGTTAAATGAACCCTTGTCCATAACAGGTATTTTTGTGTTTTGCCAGAAGCTGGAAGTAAATAGCAATAGCACTTAGACTTATATACTGCTTCACAGTGATTTACAACCCTCTCTAAGCAGTTTACAGAGTCAGCATATTGACCCCAACAATCTGGATCTCCATTTTACTGACCTTGGAAGGATGGAAGGCTGAGTTAACCTTGAGCTGGTCAGGATTGAACTACTGGCAGTCAGAAGTTAGTTAGCCTGCAATACTGTAATCTAACTATTGCACCGCTATGGCTCAAATGCTGGTTTCTGTCAAAAGAACCAAGATACAGTTAATCACATTATCGCAGGACACTGCAAACAGCCATAAATGCCGACGTGTTGCTGAGTGGCCAAAATGCAATTATCTGACTGTGGAAAGGAACCAGCCGTCAGAATTTTGAATTCAAGTCATAAGTACAGGTAATCCTTCGCTTACAGCCATTCATTTAGTGAATGTTCAAAGTTACACCAGCCTTAGATCTGGTGATGAATTGTGATAAAGAAAATTGGGGTTATTTAAAACTTGGAAATTATAAATATCAAAGGTTAAATATAAATATTAATGAGAAACCTAAACATTGGGAAAAATTAACCAGGAAATAGATTGTCTAAAAAAGATTGAATGTTAAAATAACTAGGATACGTATAAATTAAAAATTATTGATAAATGTAAGAAAGTTATTTTTTATTTAATCGATAGAATAAGAATTGTATTAATTTAAAGACGAGACATTAAATACCAAGGGGAAGAGAGTAGGAAACATTTAATGTAATAGTTTGAGAACTGTACTAAAGATATTTGTATGTTATTGGATTATTGACCAACTCAGCCGCCACGTTGCTTTTCAAATATTCAAACGTAAAACTAGAAAACCAATACAAATTTTCTAAAAAAAAAAAAAAAAAGTTACACCAGCACTATGGCTCCTTTTCACACAACCATTGCAGCATCCCGTGGTCTTTAACAAGAGATTGGACAACCATTTGTCTGAAATGGTATAGGGCTTCCTACTTGAGCAGGGAGTTGGAGTAGATGACCTCCAAGGTCCCTCCCAACTTCATTAGTCTGTTATTCTAGTCATGTGATCAGAATTTGGACAATTGGCAACCGGCATGTATTTATGATGGTTGCAGTGTCCCACGATCATGTGATCTTTTTTGGGGGGGCGACATTCTGGCAAGCCAAATTGATGGGGAAGCCCGATTCGCTTAACAGCAGTGCCAAGAAAGATCATAAAACGGGGCAAAACTCATTTAACAACAACCTTGCTTAGCAATAAAATTTTTTGGCTCAGTTCTGGTCATAAGTCGAGGACTACCTGTGCCTTTTAGGGGGAGTCCATCATAACTGATCAAGGACTACCTGTGCAGTATCTTCGGTTATATCACTAGCCCCCCCCCCTCTCTCTCTTTTGTACCCCCCCTCCATGAATTATGTTCCAAGTTGCTGCAGGGATTACAGACCCTTCCCAGCCCTGACTCCACTTAGCTAAACTGAATTATGCCCATGTTGTTTTGATTTGTAAGGCATGTCCAAAGAATGCCACAGGTGTCGTTCCACCCGTGGAGTTAAAATTGCCATTTCCTGGTTGCAGTTCAACAACGTAGCCTCGTTTCGTTTTCCTTAATGCTTTCCAGGCTGAAAGTCTCTCCTTTCAATGTGGTTCATTTTCTACCATAAAAGACAGTATATTTTGCACCGAGAGAACTTTATGTGCAATCTGAACCATATCCTAAGGAGACAGAAACAGTATTTTTGCTGTCTGCTTTACAGTTCACCGGATAAGTGACGAACGGTGGTGGTGCTTGCTTGCTCTGTTTCTCCCCTTTTGCCTTCTTGAGTTCTGAGCGTACCGTTTTGTGCTGTGAAAGAAAGATTTATTATTTATTTTATTCATAGAGTAGGGCTGCATCATTATTATTATTATTATTATTATTATTATTATTATCCTTTTCATCTTTCCTACTACCTTCTCCTATTGATATCTTGTGATTATATTACTTCTGTTGTTTGTACGTACACTGAGAACTTCTGCACCAGAGACAAATTCCTTCTGTGTCCAATCACACCTGGCCAGTAATGAATATTCACAAATGAAGGCAAATATACGTGTCCCAGGATAATGATGCGAGATTTATTCTTCCAAGCTTTCAGACTCATGATGGAGTCCATCTTCAGGGAATTTTCAATTTGGTTCAAGTCAAATATATACGGCCACCCAATTTGCTCATGGTGCCCCAATACAAAAATAATCAATAACCCAATATCCCTAATACAAAAACCAATAAACCCCCATTCCCTGGTGGCAACAATCAGATCACATTTATGGGCTCCATATCACTCTGGGGTCCCTGACCCATAGGCTAAACCCGTGGTGGCGAACCTATGGCACGCATGCCACAGGTGGCACATAGAGCCCTCTCTGTGGGCACGCATGCCATCGCCCCAGTCGAAGGCCCTCAGCAGGGTTTTATAAAACCTTTTCGCTTTAGGCCTGTGTGCAAAAAGAAAAGGTTCAATCAATCAATCAATTTCAATTTCTTGTGGGGAAAAAAAAGATCTCGCAAAGTTGGAATTGATTTATTTAGTTATTTATTTTATTTATTTATGAGACTTATATACCGCTTTAAGTGTTTACATTGCCCCCAACAATCTGGGTCCTCATTTTACCTACCTCGGAAGGATGGAAGGCTGAGTCAACCTTGAGCCGGTGAAATTTGAACCGCTGACCTGCTGAACACAGTCAGCTAAAGTGGCCTACAGTACTGCACTCTAACTGCTGCGCCACCTCAGCTCATTTATTGAACTTTTTAGTCCCACCCAGTCTGCCATTACCACTGCAGCCACACCTACCCAATGGGCCAAACCCACCCAATGGGCCATACCCAGCCAGCACCCGACGATACATAAGTGGGTTTTGGGTTGCAGTTTGGGCACTCAGTCTCTAAAAGGTTCGCCATAACTGGGCTAAGCCTTCAGGGCCTTGAGAAAGCATGTCAAAGTGAGAGCCAATCTCATCTCTGCAGGATGATGTTCCACAGGGAGGGAGCCACCACAGAGAAGGCACTTCTTCTTCATGCTGCTAGATGAACCTCCTTAAAAAAGGGGACTCATAACATCCCCTGCTTCCCCACTCTGGTGGGTCAAGCAGATATGATTTGAAAAAAAAGCAGTCCTTCAAATAACCAGGTCCCAGGCCATGTAGGGCTATAAAGGTATAACCACCACCTTGAATTGGACCTGGAAGCAAATCGGCAGCCAATGCAGCTCCCGCAAAAGAGGTGACACATAATCAAATCTAGGCTTTCACAAAACCGTTCAGGCTACCACATTTGGAAGCTTCCAGTATCTTTTCAAGGGCAGAGTGCGTTGCAGTAGCCAAGATGTGTCCTGAGGATGATGGTGATGATGATGATGATGTTATCCATTCAGTTGAGTGCAACTCTTGATGATGCTATGGGCAGGTCTCTCCACATCGTTTAATCTTGTACTATTTTTTGAGTTTTTCTACTCTGTGGCCGGTGTCAGCTTTGATGGTGTCCAAACATCGTGTTCCTTGATGTCCCAGTTTCCATTTACCACTAACTCTTCCCAGCATAATTGCTTTCTCCAGTGACTATGGAGTTTCTCAATCATCCAGGTCACGGTTGCCTTTTTCAAAAGGCAACTGGCCTTTTTTTTGTTTTGTTTTTTCCTTGAAGACGTTTCACTTCTCATCCGAGAAGCTTCATTGGTTCTGACAACAGCAGTAGCAATAGCACTTAGATTTATATGCCACTTCACAGTGCTTTACAGCCTTCTCTAAGCAGTTTACAGAATCAGCATAGTGCCCCCAACTATATTGCCATTTTAGAAGGGTGGAAGGCTGAGTCAACCTTGAAGTGGTCAGGATTGAACTGCTGGCAGTGGACAGAATCAGCCTGCAATGCTGCATTCTAACCATTGAGCCACCACGACGCATGAAAGGAATGAACAGCGAACCAATGAAGCTTCTTGAATGAGAAGCAACACAACCTCAAGGAAAAAAACAAGAAAGTCCAGTTGCCTTTGGAAAAAACACCTTTGAGATTTTCTCCAATGAATTCCCCCGCATGAGATGGCCAAAGTAAGTGAGACAAGATCTGGTCTGTGTGAGATCAATCACCAAACGATCAAGTGAAACCAAGCCCTCAAAGTTGATACCGCAAAGTGACTGCGTTTTCTCTGCACATTCAGCATCTCAGTCACAATAAATCAAATTCAAATTGCTTCTCTCTCTTTTCCTTCACAGTGTCCCGATTCAGCCTGTAAGCAAGACCTGCTCGCCTATCTTCAGCGCATCGCCCTTTACTGTCACCAGCTCAATATCTGTAGCAAGGTCAAAGCAGAAGTCCAAAACCTTGGCGGAGAACTGATTGTTTCCGGGGTAAGACATTCCTGTATTTTCCTGTTATAGCGTGTCTTAGTTTTAAATTAGTGGTTCCCCTCCCCTCCCTCCATTTGGAAAATATATATCTTGGTCTTCAAAAAGCAACATTATTCCAGTTTGATGAAGTGACCGGAGACTTCATTGCTATGTCACCCACCCAAAGAGCTTCTGCTCTTCACACCCATTAAAAATATAATAAAATAAGATATTAAATCCATTATGAATAGGAGCTCGGTTTTATATTTAGCAAGATTGGACAGCCAAATGGATTTCCCTTCTCTGATGATAAGGAAGTTCCACTTTTTCTATGCACTTCACTTGGTCTAAACCAGTGTTTCTCAGCCTTGACAATTTTAAGGCATGTGGACTTCAACTCCCAGAATTCCACAGCCAGCAATGCTGGCTGTGGAATTCTGGGAGTTGAAGTCCACATGCCTTAAAATTGTCAAGGTTGAGAAACACTGGTCTAAACTGAGATATCCTTAAGTCTCTCAGTCCAGGTGAACCTCAACATGGACATTTCATTCACCTTCCTTTAAGGGGGGGGGGACAATAAGTGTAGAGAGACTTGTGGACTTCAACTCCCAGAATTCCTCAGCCAACCATGCTTTTGCTGGCGGGGGAATTTCTGCGAGTTGAAATCCACAAGTCTTAAAGTTGCCAAGGTTGAAGACCTCTGGTGTAGAGGACACCCATGTAAGCAAGTTCTCTGAGGGGCCGAGACTTCAAGAACGGCCTGATTCTAGAACAGCCTGATTTTTTTCCTAGCAAAGTAACTCATAAAACGTAATCCTTTCTCCAAAAGAAATGTTCTCACCTAAAAAAAACACGACCCAATCATAGACATTATACAGGTAGTCCTCAACTTACAAACTCAATTGAGCCCCAAATTTATGTTGCTGAGTTAGACATTTATATAGTGGGTTTTGCCCAATTTTACAACCCACAGTTAAATAAATCATTGTCCTGCTTGCATTAGTAACACCGTTGTGAAGTGAATCTGTCTTCCCCGTTGACTTTGCTGGTCAGAAGGTCACAAAAGGTGATTATATGAGCAGGCTGCCAAACATTCGAATTTTGATGACATGACCATGGGGATGCTGCAACAGTTGTTAAGTGTGAAAAACTGTCATCAGTCTCTTTTTTTCAGTGTCATTGTAACTTTGAATGGTCACGAAACCTGTAGGTTTTTTTGAATCGTGATTATTTGCCTTCTTTGGGCTTAATATCAAGTTCTAATTATTACAAACACTCATGAACCTGTGATTCAATGTTGATCCAAGCATCCCTTCGACCAAAAGATGGGCTAAATTTAACATTGTTCAGCTGGGCCATTGAGTCCATGTATTATTTTGAATTCACGTGCTGCATTCAGAACTAATTTTGTGGCATGACATACTGCTTTTTAATCACCTAATATTTCTTGAGCCTCATCCCACCACAGTTAAAGGTTATATTCCTCTAATCCTTCATTTTTTAAAAAAAAAATACAGATAGTCCTCAATTTACAATAGTGACTGTTCAAAGTTACAACAGCGCTGAAAAAAATGACTTAGAACTGTTTTTCATACTGATCGCCATTGCAGCATCCCCATGGTCACATGATCAAAATTTAGATGGTTGCAGTATCCCCGGGATCATGTGATCACATTTTGTGACCTTCTGACAAGCAAAGTCAACGGTGAAGCCATGTCACTAACTTAACAACTGCAGTGATTCATATAATAACGGTGACAAAAAAGATGGTAAAACGGAGCAAAATTCATTTAACAAATGTCTCCTTTGACAACAGAAATGTTGGGTTCAGGTGTGGTCGTAAGTCGAGGACTACCTGTATATGATTCCAGGCCTCTTTCCACAGACACACAGAAACATTCACATCCATGTTTCCAATGATTGTGAGAGACACTTCTAATGCAATTGGGCAGCCACTCAGAGTTAAGATTTTTTTTTTTTCCTGGGAAAAAAAGTCCTCCTGATCCTGCAAATTTCTTGTCCTATGTGCCAAATAGTGTCCATTTAAGATCTTGATGTTCTTCAAGATGTGGCAATGAGCCTCCTTTGTCCTCCCATCTCTCATATAACAAGCTGAGATCATTCTTTTACTTGCTGACATTGCTGGATCTGCTTCCATTCTCATGGGTTTTGACCACGTCCACCTACCTCTGATCTGTCCCTCAATCCCACTTATGCATCGGCTTGGCTGTTGAGCTTAAATCTCATTTCTGTCCTTTTTTTCTTGTATCTGCTGTAGAAGCCACCTTGGGCACATGCTCAAATAGCTTGTGTATGTTGTTGGCTTACCATTACATGCAGTGAAACTCAAAACAGCACAGCGTTTGCCTTCTTCATTCCCTGTGTGGTGGTCTTCAGCACCCACTGCTTCATCCCCATTATCTTTTTCTTCATTAAACCATCCGCTGAAGCAGTGCTTACCATCAATTTGCAGATGATTGGCATTGTGTGTCATAAACTCAAAGTCGCATTCAGAGAAAACCCCTGGTATTATCTTCTCTTGATCTTTCTGGTGTTGATGTAGGATCTCCCTTCACAATGCCTTTCTAGCAATTGTGATGTTGCTGTATTATATCAAAGAGCCGGATACTGTATGCTTCAAGACTATCCAATAATATGGATTCCAGGTTCACTTCATCTGTAGCTTCCTTGCTTATTTTATGCTGTCATCTTGTTCATCATTCTCTCTTGGATAGCCAGTTGCAAATAAAAACTTTGATTTTATTTGCATCATATAAAAAAAGCAGACTTTGCATACAGTACGGTGCTCCTGGTTTCCTTCAAATGATTTGACAGTTGGAAAGCTTATGTATTCACTTTCGGGCTTCCAGCTTCTACCACTGGACTCCGATGAGATAAGGTACACACTCACTGGTGAAAACTAATGTGTGCGTATTATCTGACAATTCTGTATCTGGAAGTATCTGTAGATTATTTTATATTTGCAGTGTTCCTTGGGATATTGAACTTAGCAATGTGGGTTTGATACAAAGCAATGTTTTCCTGCCATTTGTTCAGGATTTTGTTAAGGATTTAGTACCTTAACAATATTGCATCCAGTTTTAGTCACCATGATATAAAAAAGATGTTGAGACTCTAGAAAGACTACAGAGAAGAGCAGCAAAGATGATTAGGGGACTGGAGGCTAAAACATATAAGGAATGGCTGCTGGAATTGGGTAGGTCTAGTTTAACAAAGAGAAGGATGTGGGGGGACAGGATAGCAGCCTTCCAGTATCTCAGGGGCTGCCACAAAGAAGAGGGAGTCAAGCTCTTCTCCAAAGCCCCTGAAGGCAGGACAAGAAACAACGGATGGAAACTAATCAAGGAGAGAAGCAACCTAGAACTAAGGAGAAACTTCCTGACAGTGAGAACAATTAACCAGTGGAACCACCTGCCTCCAGAAGTTGTGGAGGTTCCAACACTGGAACTTTTTAAGCAGAGATTGGACAATCATTTGTCTGAAACGGTACAGAGTCTCCTGCTTGAGTAGGGGGTTGGACTAGATGACCTCCAAGGTCTCTTCCAACTCTGTTATTCTGTTACATCTTCTGTTCTATTATATCAGTGTTTCTCAACCTTGACAATTTTAAGGCATGTGGACTTCAACTCCCAGAATTCCACAGCCAGCATTGCTGGCTGTGGAATTCTGGGAGTTGAAGTCCACATGCCTTAAAATTGTCAAGGCTGAGAAACACTGTATTATATCTTCTGTATCAATGACATAGAAACATGGCCTCTCCTGACATTTTTCTTCAATAAACAATCCTCAAGGCTAAACTGGATTGAGAAGCCTCCATAACTCAGATCCGAGTGGGATTCAATGGGTTTGGTAAAATGTACTTGTGACTGAAGTTACGTGTACACATTTGTCTGGCATGTATCATTTGGCAATATTGCACCCAATTTTTGTCACCGCAATACAAAAAAGATGTCGAGACTCTGGAAAGTTAAAGATTATAAGAGGTCTGAAGGCTAAATCGTATGATGAACAGTTGAGGGAACTAGGTATGTCTTGCCCAGTGATGGCGAACCTTTTAGAGACCGAGTGCCCAAACTGCAACCCAAAACCCACTTATGTATCATCGGGTGCCGGGTGGGCGTGGCCCTTTGGTTGGGTGTGGCCCATTGGCTGAGCGTGGCTTCGTTGGTAACGGCAGACTGGATGGGACTAAAAAGTTCAATCAATCAATTCCAACTTTGAGAGAGCTTTTTTTTCCCGTGAGAAGTGGAAATTGATTGATTGAACCTTTTTTTTTTTGCACACGGTGGTGGAGGCCTAAAGCGAAAAGGTTTTATAAAACCCAGCTGAAGGCCTAGGACTTGGGCGTCGGCGCGCGTGCCCACAGAGAGGTGCCATAGGTTCGCCACCACGGGTCCAGCCTATTGAACAGAAGGTCTATGGGTAACAAGATAACTGTCTTCCAGTACTTGAAAGGCTGTCACAGAGAAGAGAGGGCAGATTTAAAACTCTCCAAAGCACTTGAGGGCAGAACAAGAAGCAATGGGTGGAAGCTTATTAAAGAGAGATCCAACCTAGAACTAAGGATAAATTTCCTGACAGTGAGAACAATTGATCAGTGGAATGGGTACCTTCAGAATTTTGGGGTATTCTATCACTGGAGGTTTGCAAAAATAGACTAGACAACCATTTGACTGGGATGGGATAAGGTTCCTACCTTGAGTAGGGCGGTTCCAGCCCTTTGAGTCGATGAAATGCTATGGAACAATCTATAGATGAGAGAACCTCTCATTTTAACTTCAATTTCTCATTTTCCTCACCGTATATTTGCAAGGTCCATATCTTTATTCTTTGCAAACGGGGGTCGAAATGAAGCATGCAAAAACATCAGGATAGGTTTTGTGCGTTTCTGCATCTTCGCCTAGTCCACAAAATGTAAAAAATTGGCAAGCGTGTCTCAACGGCCATGCATTTTGGGGACGTATTTTCCTCTTTGGAGTATTGTTAAGTACACTCTACCC